ACTGGTATCTTTTTTTTTTTTTTTTTGACTCAATAACTTATGATAAATCTTCCCCTTTTTGTTTTACAGATACAGCAATGATATAACTTCTCTGCCTTTTTTGCTGGAGATCCTTACAGTGTTGCCTGAAGAAGTACATAGTCGTTCCTTAAGAATTGGAGCTAATCGGCGCACAGAAATTATAGAAGATTTGGCCTTTTACTCTAGTACAGTAGTATCCCTATTGGTGAGTAAGTTTTTTGTAACTGTTTTTTTTTTTTGTACTGGGGATTGAACTTGGGACCTTGTGCTTTCGAGGCAGATGGTGGAACCACTGAGCTAAATCCCCAGCCTGTTATTGTTGTTTTTGAGGGTGTTTTTGTTTTTGTTTTGCCTAGGGGCAGAATAACCATAGTGGTTATTTTGTGATTTAATTGCATTATTGTGAAATAGATTTCTTTACAAAATTTGGCAGTGATTATACTTTGATGTATGTAACACTTTACAATTACAAAATGCTTTTAGAAACTATACTTCTTAAGCTTCTGTAAAATGCTCTGAGAGTAATGATATCCATTCTGTGAATGAAAAATGAGTTTTAGAGTTACACAACTTTGAGAGTTTAAATTTAGCTTTCAGATTACATACCGCATTCTCTACTATCTTATGCTATAAGCTGTTAGCTCCTGATGAAGGATCATGCTAAAGAAGTGTGTATAAACTTATGTTAGCAAGGAAGCAACTCTTTCCTAGAGACAAATTGAAAAAAAAAATGGGTTTTTTTGGTACTGGAGATCAAACTCAGGATCTTGTGCTTACAAAGCAGGTGGTGGCACCACTGAGCTAAATCCCCAGCTCCAAATTGAAAATATGGTAGGAAGGTGATAGAAGACATTAATTAACCTTTGAGTCATTAGCTAATACCACATTAAAAAAAAGAGAAAGTAATTAGATCTTTTTAGATTAGTTAGAATTTCTTTTTTGTTTGTATGTTTTGTTTTGAGTCTTGCTATGTTCAGTAATTCTGGCTGGCTCTGAATTCCCTGTTCAGCCCAGGTTTACCTTTATTTAGTGATCCTCCTGCTTTAGCTTCCCAAGTGCTGGAATTAGACCAGAGGTGGGTAAATTTATGGTCCATGAGCTAGCTTTTTTTTTTTTAAGTTTTATTGAAACACAGTTGGACCTGTTTGGTTATATATTGTATGTGTCCATTATTTTGGGCTATATCAATAGAATTGAGTAGTTTTCACAGAAACACATGGCCTGTAAAGGTTAAGATATTTACTGTTTGGCCCTTTACTAAAAATGACTACTGTTTCCTAAACCAAGTAGTTTAAAACTGATTATCTAGCCCTTATCTTAGGTCTTTTTGGTCAAGCCTAATTTTCTCAGTAATGTGGTTATAGGAGATTATTTTTCAGGGATTTGTTTCAGTGCTTTTGTTGATATATAAGTTTTTTGTTTGAAAAAATGATTTTGTTAAAAATTGTGTCCAACTTGATATTAGAAATTCATTGGAAAATTATTCTTTTAAATATATTTAGTTTTCCAATTGATCATTTATTATTTTAAAGAAATAGTGTTACAAAGTATTAGAAAAGATAGATAGTTGCCCTCAAACCATTTGGAATCAGATCCTTTGTTTTTGTTTGTTTGTTTGTTTTGTTTTGTGGTGTTGGGGATTGAACCCACAGCCTCACTCATGCTGGATAAGTGCTTTATCATTGTACTATGTCTGGCGCCTCCTTCCCCCACCTTTTTTCTGGAGGTGTCTTACTGTGTCGTCCAGGAAGGCCTCAAGCTCCTGGGCTCAAGCAGTGCTCCTGCTTTGGTCTACTGTGGCATGTCACTGTGCTGACTACATTTAACCCTTTAGTACTTTATCCTCTATGAACATAGTATTTTTTCTATGAACATATATACAGATTTTTTTAAAAAATCCAAATAAGATTATATTCTACCTACTCTTCTGCATCCCACTTTTTTATCCATCTAGTTTCATTTTTACATATAGTATGTTTTCGTATCCAGTGATATCTTTCAGGCCACATTCACGTTTCACATTTGGTTCTAAAATGTCCTTTACAGTTTTTGCAAGTCAGTATCCATTGTAGAACCATTCTTTGTTTCAGGTTCTTAATCATAATCTTCCTCCTTTTTTGAAAATGATGTGATGTTGAAAAGATTGGATCGATTATTTTGTAATATACAGTATCTTTCCAATTGTTCTTTGTTTCAGTTAGCTTATCTTTTCTAGCCTCTGTATTTTCTCTTAATTGGAAGTTGTAGCTGAAGCACACACCCCTTCTCACTAGGGGTTCCTCAAGAGAATTAAGACTTGGTGCCCTAAGTCACCCATTATCTGTAATGAATTCTTTACTGTTCTTTTTTTTTGGTAGCGGGAATCAAACTCAGGTCCTTGAGCTTGTGAGTCAGGCAACGGAACCACTGAGCTAAATTCCCAACCCTCTACTCTTCTTTAATAGTGATATTAACTGTATACCATTCTTAGGGTAATTGAGAAAATAGTTATTCAGATTCCTTCTTCTTGGGTTTAATTCTTTCCCAGGCTCCTGGTTGAGAAAAATTGAGAGGCATGATGGGTTAGTTTTAAAAAGTTAAGCCATTTTAGCTAGAACACAATCATAGGTAATTAATGTTGCAGATTATCAGATCTGTCTATCTTTGACATCCCATTAGTGATACTGGCGTTTGTCACTGAATGACAGTGACAGTTTGCTGCTTTTATGAAGTTTGCTTTTTCCCCTCTTGTAATATGTGTATGATAATAGCTTATTATTTTATGAATGTCCAATTTTTTTATCAAACTTTTGCCTGATTTTGTTTGTTTGTTTTGTTTTTGTTTTTGTGAGACAAGGTCTCACTATTAGTTCAGGCTGGCCTAAAAGGGTAATCCTCCTGCTTCAACCTCCCAGGAACTGGGATTACAGGCATGTACCACTGCGCCCGGCTGCCTGATTATTGTTAAATTCCAACTGATAATCTTTACTATAACCTATAATTTCATGATGGTTTGCTAAGTAACATTTCATTAATTTTGTCATTCCTTCTATGTGTACATTAGTTGGCATTCTTCTGATTCCTATTAGAAAGATAGGCTAAATCTTAATCTAAGAAAATCTCCTACTTAAAAAATAAGGATTTGCTTTAAAGTTGCTTTTTTTAAAGCATTCTCTTTTTTAAAAAATTATGGACTTAACAGATTTTTATTGATTTCAGTAGGCATGCTTTAATATGAAGAATTACTAACAAAGGAGGTTTACAGTAATGAGGGATTGCCTGGTAAGTAAAGAGAACTCTAAAGAAAATAGAAATAAAATAAATACAAGGAACAGCCATTGGCCCTAGGGCTGAGATGAAGCTTTCAGAGAAGGTGTCTTTGCAGGGCTGAAATCTAGACTCTTGAAGAAGACATATGACTCACTAGGCAGCCAAGAAGCTGTTATCAGAATCTCCTGGCTATGCCAAAATGTTATTAAGTAGCTTCTTCTGAAAGTGTCTTGACAGTTCTGAAGTTATATTTGCAATTCTTCTTTCTTGAACAAAGAATTGGACAAAATGAACAAAAAGCAAAAAAAGAAATTATTTGAAAAAGTCAAAGTGAAGAGTGAAGGAAACTGGCTCTACAAAGCAAGCTTGAGCTAAGCAAAAGAAGTAAAGGCATTAAAAGGACATCCTGAAGAACACAGGGCGGGCTACTATGAGGAAAGGCATGCCAGCATGCTTTTCTTAGCCTCTGTGTCCAAATTATACTGTCCAGGTCTTGAGGAACCCATGAGAACTTCTACTTCTGGGTTCTGAGAGGCGGTGCTGGGATCCTGTGCTTCAGGCTAATACTAAAGTACACGTGCAGGGCTTTGGGACCTGTTTTGCGCATGTATTCCAGGATTTTGTAATTAACAGGTCATGCCGACTTCTCCAGCCAGTTTTGCCACATCCTGCAGGCCCTTGTGCACTTAAAAAATTGAGAACAATAAGAGTCTGGTATTGGAAAAGTTTTTCATTCTTCAAGAGCCATAGACATTTTATTATAAAACCATTGGTACGATTGGAGAAAGTTGCTGACCAGAGCACTGAAAGAGCTAGACCCCAGAAGAGCTAGGAGTCTGGTGCTGGAGAAGTTTCATGTTTTGCAAAAGGCTGTGAAGTGGGCACACTAAAGTCAGTAGTAAACTCTTTTCCTTCTGTGGTGTTTCTCCAGTGTCCTCAACCGGCAAAACCTTTGTACTGACACAGGGAAAAAAACACTTCAGGGGTCCAGATGTGTTTTCACAGAGCAATCTAATAAGGGAAATTTGGAGTTGGGAGGCAATGAGTTTGTAACTGGCCAGAGTACTAACATGTTTAAACTTTGAACAGTGGCTTAACTAGCATTTAGGAAAGATTTACTAACTTGCATAACTAATCCACAGGATATGATTAATTACAGTTAAAGATGCATCACCATTAATACCCTTCAGAATACTTTCTGCTTCAAGCACAATTATCCCATCATGCTTTTGTTTTGTTTTGTTTTTTTTCTGGTTCCAGGGATCGAACTCCAGACCTTGTACTTGCCAAGCAGGCACAGCACCACTGAACTACATCCCTAGCTCTTGTTTTTTGTTTTTTGAGATAGGTTCTGGCTTTGTTGTGCAGGCTGGCCTTGAGTTTACTAATGTAGGCATAGACTAGGCTGGCCTTTATCTTGCAGCAATCCTCCTGCCTCACCTCCCAAATGTTGGGATCGCAGTGGTCATTTTGATTGTGGGGAAGAGCCAGAAATTTTACAGTGCCAGATACAACTAATGTTTTTGTGAGCTGGCCAGCACACAGCAATGACATTCACAATATTTTTTATCATATCTCATAAAGATACTTTGGAAAGAACTCCCAGAACTGCTTCAGAAAGTGGCAAGAATGAAGGAAGAGTATGTTCAAAGTAAGAGGGAGTATTTTCACAAAATTAATGGCAGTGTATCTTTGTAATAATTTTTAAAATTAAGAATACACCCTCTCACTCGCTCGCTCTCTCTCTCTCTCT